TTTTCGATTTTATAGTGATTTTCTACATTTCTATAACTTTTCATTAGCATTTATCCGATTAGCTAAGAAGTGTTTTGAACTTTTTTTTGAAAATATACCATCTGCTGTTAAATATGAATCCTAACGGACAAAATGAAAGTAACTTCACCAACATAGCGTGGCAACCACCACTTGGATTTACATACAATCGCGAATTAGAAAATATGAATGAAATCGATGAGAATTTGAGTAATTTTCATTCCAATGTTTCGGAACTACGTCGAAGCTCTCGAGAGAGCCTTGATAATTACAAACAAAAACTTACTTATTGTACCGATCAAATTGTTGCACTTCTGGAAATCGAGTGGTCAAAAAATGACAAACTTGATAAAAATCCCACTATTCTTGGTTATTTTTCGACCTGGTTCAGCATGTTGATTGAAATAATTTCTAATTTTTATTTAATGTTTCAAAGGAGTAACAATTACTTGGAAGATGAATTTGAAAAAATGGTTACAAAAAATTTCGTTATATTAAAACCATTAGGAGTTCTTTTAAAAAATGAGGCTAAGTGAGTTTTATTCTTCAAATTACATATAATTCATAATTTTCATACACGAAAAAAAATCAAATTAATTTATATTCCTTTTGTAGTTTCACGTTAGTTTTGAAAGCATTGCAACCCATACCCGTTATAGTAAAAAATGTTGAAATAATTTCAGGTAGGATAGTTTCAATTTATCAAAGTATTTTTACTAGGGCCGCCCGTGGTCGAAATTCGATCAATTGATTTAAAATTGTTTATTTCTATATATGCTTTTAATGAATTTGCCAAAGTGTGTGGATTAATCGGGCAACACTAACTATAATAAATTTATTCCAAATTACTGAAATTCGTCAAATATACAACACAGCTGATATTGTACATAAAGCTACAATTTCACCAAAAAAAATTCGAGTTGAATTATTTCACTCATTTTTGCAAAAAAAGTCTATGTTAAATGCATGGGAAATTCGTAGAATGACTTCATATGAACAATGCTATCGATATCAAATGTTTACATTTCCGGAAAGTGGTGAAAATTGGAGCGAATTTGAACTGAAAAAAATTTGGTTGAAGGGCACTATAAGACTAATCAAATGTGACTCTAAATTTACAAATGAATTCATTTTCGTACTGAATTGAGATTAATGGTAAAAAGGGGATCTATTTCAAGAATTTCAAGCATAAAAAACATATGTGAGTTAAGCTGAATCACAAAAATTGACGTGAAATACAAAAATTGGTGATTTCGCAAATTGGGTGACGTAATTAAACGTGATTGAATTACAACTTATCAAAACAGTTACAAATGATCTTTATTCATGTCATCCGATGGTTTGTAGTCGGAATGTAATAGAAAAATGACGAAAAACATGTAGAAGAATCCAATTATCTAATTTTCCGAAAAATTAAATTTTTCCACTTTTGAAAAGTCATTAAAAATTTATAAAAAAATAGATCGATGAAAAATCTTTATACCCCCGCTGTACTCACTGGACATCCCTCTTTCCGAATGCCACTCATTTCAATCAACATTGTGCACGGTTTTTAGTCAGCACTGCTAGAGTTTTGAAAGAGTCGAAAAATGGGTCGATTAATGAATGCGCGGAAAAAACCAAAAGTCCTTTTACAATCGAACCCATAATTTGCCTAAAATATGGACCAATCTAGTAACTAACGATGGCCAGTACTTTAGCTAAAAATACAATTTAGCTTTCTATTGCAAAAAGATCGGAAGATTCTCTGGGAATTGTTTTTTTTTAATTTGACATCACTTTCGTCAAATCAATCGATCGACTTTTGAAACAAAACAAAAATACCGATTTATTTCTTTGTGTGAATGTAAATTGAATTGAATTGACTCTAGGTTAGCTTTAGCATCTGATTGAATGTTTATAGCACAAAATCACTAACACACCAAATAAACAACATTTGAAATTTTCTACAAGAATATCACGGGGGAATTTATATGTGACTAGGGGCTCGGAACTTGAAAAAAAAAACATCAAATAAATACAGTTTTGTATGATTCGATATTATCGTAGTTTTTTGTAATTATACAGCCCGTATACAGCAGCGATTTGAAACACACAAAATAAAATTAATAATCATGTTATTATTGCATGAAAATTTATATTTCTTCAACAAAAAAAAATAATTTGGATGAAGAACTTCAAAAGTGTGTAATTAATATTCTTATAGTAAGCCTTTGTGATTTTATAAATGACGTTTCACTAAATGACATGCACCATTTGCCGCCATTTTGGGTATTTACGATAATCAGGAATAATGATTTTATTCATGAATATTCACAGAAAGTGAAGCTAGTGTTCACTACTCAAAATGGACCAATATTCGTGAATATGCATGGTTTTTCACGAATAAAAAATACTTCCGAGCCCCTAGATATGTGATATGTATTTTTGCGTCACTCTATATATACTGTAAAGAAATGAAAATCGATACCGCTGACTTTTGAAAAAGGGTTTTTGCATATTTTAGTAGTGCTCGGACACGAAATTAAGAATCCGCAAAAATTAAAAAAAAAATTCAAAATTTGACCGCTTGGCTATAGCGCCGCCTAAAAAAGGTAAATTTTTGGTTTTGTCCAGAAACAATTTTCCAAAAAATGGCATATTCGGAAACTGGAGTTCGGGTAGATAGTGTTGATTTTTTTATGGAATCGATCGAAAAGTGTCCGAAATATGATCATGTCAAAAAATCTTAGGAAAAACACGAAATTAGTGAAATGGTTTGTTAGCCTGTCTGTTTTTTTGTCCGAGACATTTCTGAAATCGTCGGAAACTAGTTCGATTCAAAAGTAGGAGGAAAACTGAGCATATATGTCTCTCGAAATTTTTAAATTTTGTTGCGTAAGTGCCTAAGGTATGGATTCGAAAAATGTTCGGACGCACTTTTTCAAATTTTCATCAAATAGTCTACTTTCTGAGCATATGAAAGGTGTGACAATGAGTTATACGGAAAGCTACGAACTTCAGCTATCAAGATCTGAAGTCAGAATGGAAAAAATGTCGAAATTGACCGCTAGATGGCGCTTCATGTGAGTGTTTTTTTCCAAAAATGACCATGACTTTTTATACACCGACCAAAATTTAAAAAAATTACAGCATTAGTTTTACGGTGGAAAACTGAGCGTTTGTTGGGGAACAAATTTGTGATGTTTTGGTGTATGTGACATGTCTGGGAAAATTCGTAACGAACCAATTTTTTTGTCCAAGAGCATTTCTCTATTGGGGTATACCGGGTGTTTTCCAACAAAAATACGTCATTTTTGGCTCTTTAAAAAAATATTGAGCTCCCCTAGAGCATAAAGCTAAAAAATAAATAAAAAAATCAGTGGAGATGGTTTAATCCATTTATGACCATGCCACTAAAAAATGGGGAAAAATCGATGGAAATTGTAATTTTGTTAAAAAAAAAGATTTTTTTCAAGATTTTTTTAATAACCAACTACAACATGCTTGGATTTTATAATTTTTGTTCACTATAACAACTGATATCACATAATTCGGACCCAAGGAATCCAATGGGGGCAATCTTTTTGAGAAATTGTTTTGATTTTTTGAGATAATCGGCCTGGAAACTACACCTTGAAATGATATTTTGAGGGCTTTATTCAATTGAAGAAAATGAATTAAAACAATGGTGCAATTAGTTTTGAATAGATTTGGTGACCATACACACTACAAATTCACCGTAGAAATGTCTCCTTTTGTTTCAAAACTTTACAAAAACAATTGAAAATGCAAAAAAGAAAATTCGAGAGCAAACAGAAAACTCTAATCCAATGTAAAAACAAATGATAAGTAGCATGGCAGAAAGCAAAAAAAAAAATTGGCGTGCATTGCAAGAAATCGATAATGTATAAATATTATACATTAAAGGAAAAGTACTAAATACATCTAATACCAGTAATACGATCTAGTACAATAAAAATACCGAAAAATACCATCTAATACACTTTAGTACTACATATTTTTAGAGCATTCACAAGCGATCTGATATTCATCTGTGTGAAAGAAAAATAATTTGAAAACAATATTTTTTGTATCACTCTTGCTTACAATTTTAATATTACAAAATATTAATCAATGTTATAAAAATATGCCAACGCACAAGATTTTATATATATTTCTTCAGCACACAAAATTTGTTAGTTTTGACATGTAAAAATCTAACCTAACTTCGGTCCAATATATGTTTTCATCTTCTGATTTGTGTGGAGATTTTATTTAAATATGAAATTGTGTCAGCTTCTTAGGACACTTTTCAAAAATGTAAAAAATATTTAACAAAATCAACAAAAATGTGTGCATTGAATTTTAATTATTTCGGTTTGCATGTGCCTCGTTTCTCTCAGTCAGTGCTTTAAAAATTCCTCATTACTAAATCGTATTACTTGGTATTTTTCGATATTTTTATTGTGATAACATATGAATAGAAAGTTTTGGCACAAAATTCAGGCGTTTTTTGCGCTACACAAACCAAATCAAAAATGTCAACCAATGCACATAGGAGACTTAACGGGACTCCTACTCTACTGCCAAACCCAATTTGCAGAAAAATTTCCAATCGCGATGGCGTACAAATTGAATTTACGAAAAAGTATCTCAAATGGTTTTGGCGAGCTAAGTTTAAAACAAATTCTGCATGTGTCTAAAGATGAACCAATCTTCGAACCATGTATCGTGTTTCATGGACTTAGTATGAAAATGAGGATTCTAGAAAAACCAAAAATTACGGTCGTATTCCCAATTTAAATGCTCAAACCCTTCAAAATTGTCATCAAGTACCGAAAATCGGGTTGGTAAAGCAAAAATTAACTTTTGGTGATTTTTATGGTTACAGCACATCCAAATTTGAAACAAAACAATAGATTTGGACACGATCATTAGGAATCAGCAAAATAAGTGACGAAAAAATTGCAAAGGGTGTCAAAAATTGAGTATTTGCTTCACCTCATAGCATGTTGCACTGAAAAATTCATCATTTTGCATAGAGAAACATTCATCGCTATATCGAACCATGAATCAAATGCAAGTGGTTTCTTTTGCATTGATAATGTTAGGGCACTACTATATGAGGCTAGATACGTCGACAAACCGAACTTTGATAAAGGGGTGTTTGTATGGCAGGATCTTCTTTGGAAGGTGTTTTAGATCCATTATTTCAAAATTTAGTGCTGAAACGTAAGGTTAAACCTCCATTACTTGCTCCATATCAACCAATTTATAATTTAGCCAATAAAAATCCAATTTCAGCATAGTTTCCATACAAAAATGACAAAAATCGCCCTTTTCTCGTAGTTTTACTTATAGAACTTTTGTGTATGGAGTTCAAACATAGCAAAATTATATATTTTCTGCCAGCTCTATTAGAGCTATTTGCCTATATAATTTTTAGCCAATAAAGTTTGAGCATAGTTCCCAAGCGACATGCACCTTCAACCAATTACTGTTTTAATCGATAGAATTCGTTGAGAACTATCTGATTAAAGACAAAATTGTGCTTTGCAAGCAGAAAAAACCACAATAATGGCTTACTTCTTAAAAAAATAGCATTTCCATGAAAAAAGGACTACCTTTTTAACTTCACAAAAAGACACCAAATTAATTATTTATCGTCTGTTTTTGGATGAATGTTATAGGGGAATGTCCAAAATACTTGAAATGTGCAACAATTAGTGGGATGGTTTGGGAGAAAGTTGGTAGAAATCGACAAATCGGTCTGCCAAAGCATGATTTTGAAGGTTTGACGCATACTGAGAAAAATCGAAGACATTGGTCCGTTCAGTGTATTGTAAATATGTTTTCGGGTTGCCTATGAATAAAGCTAACTACCACTGAGAGAAATTTTCAAAATGCTTCTTTGGTGTTCAAATTGCGTACGCTTGAATTTAGTGCCAAAACTTTCTGTTCATATGTTGGATCATATTACTGGTATTAGACGTTTTTAGTACTTTCCCCCTTTTGAAAAAATGAATACAATAAAAGAAAATGAAACATTTTGGCGAGCATAGCGAGCCAAAAAAAATTGTAGAATACAAACAGAAAAATAAAATTTAATGTTAAAACAAATGATATAAGTACAAAACACTTCTTTCGATTTCCCAATGTGACGCAATACTGCACATCTGAAATCTGAAAATGATCTGATATAAATTTTCAGTGACGCTTGCAATCAAAATCATGAAAAATTTTAATTTTGCTTCGCCTCTTGAGCATTTTCGCCATGAAATTTTCATTTTTTCAGAAATGAGAGATAGATCTGGTCAAATTTTCAATGACATTGATTGATCGGTGTAAAACTTAGACTCTAAAGAGGCACTTATGAGAAAAATTCCTTAAAATGATATTCTTTCAATTTGAACGCTGAAAGAATGTGTAGTGGGGTTTTTTTGGTACGAGAAACCCGAATCTGATGTTAGTTTTAAGATGCAATCAATTTTTCACAGACTTTTCATACAAAAATCCACAAAAATTTTCATTTTTGTATGAAAGACATGCCTTTGTTGTACCGTAATGATGTGAAACTTTGAACAGGCAATTTGTTGATTGAAATTTCTTTAAACTTCGTGTGATTATTTATTTTAATAAGAAAATAATATTCACAAGTTTTCACGGTAATTTAAGTTACTGCAACCATTCATAGACCATAATTTCAGTTTATTCCCAAAATTTCGGTTCCACGCGGAAAAGTCAGCATGCTTACGTATTTAATATCATTTAAGCAGATGCGACATATATGAGATTTGAGAGATTTTTGTGCGACCATCTACAATTCGGTCAAATTGGGTCGAAAAATTAAATTTGGTTCTGTAGCATTGAAACGAAAAAGAGAAAAACAAAACAAGAACAATAGCACGGCCACCCAGAGCTGTACATTCTTTCATTCATAATAGTGGAATGAACAGTGGAACATTATTTTCTTTCGTAGTATTTTCAACAAGTTTTGAAATCAATTGTTTCGGTATTATTGTTAAGAGATATTTTTACTAAATAATGGTTCAATTTGATTTCAGTTGAAAATAAAAAATCTGCCCCTATCAAAATTAAAAAACAACAAACACACCAGGGAGACCTCCTAACTTTGACTTGCCATTGGCCAAAAGGTCCTATGGACAAAGTGTTAAATAAAAAGTTTACTCTTAGAGTTAAATTACAATTCGAAGGGCAAGTGTATTCCGAAATGACTTTGCCAAACGTGGAGTTCTACGTGGAGTCCATTCAAATGTGTGGTTATTCTCATGTAAAGCAAGAATATAAAGCCTGGGGCAATGTCATATGGAACGATGCTCTTCAACGTTCTATAGAACCACCCGTTCCACAGAATGTTCCACAGAATGGTCAACAGAATTTTGAATCGAATGTTCGTTGGGAGTATTTAAAGGAATCTATAAACTCCTTATGTTTTTTAATCACTGACAAAAGGTTGAGCGACGAAGACCTGAATTATATATGTAAGTTACTTACATTTTGTAAAAAAAATAATGATTTTTTTGTTCGATATTAATTAATTCAATCGATCTGATTCTTATGAAGACGACAATTCGTTCGCAACAAATTTATTGAATCCAGGTGAGTATACTTACATTTAGAGAAAAATAATGGCTTTCGATATTAAATATTTCGATTGTTGTGAAGAAAGCAGAACGCTCAACACACGAAATTCGGGGGAAATAGACAAAAAGTCATTTGAAACTAAATTCGAGTGGATCTTTGAGGCTTTGAAAACATTAAGAGATTATCTCCGTGAACCATGGAAAGCAGGTCACATAAGTTTCATCACATTTCCTAGAGCTATACAATTACTTACGAGTTATCTTGAACATATACAACGTTTGCGTTATTATGTAATCAATGCTGAAGAATGGGTAAATATATTTCTATTAATGATCCCCAATATTCCCAACTTGTTAGGTAAGTCAATTGACGATGCGATTGTATTGTTTAGTATTTTATTGAAATAAAATAAACATTTTTCTTTTTTGTCAGGATCCATACAGGTTATACAGTTGCAAATATGGCGCGATGGGGAACGATTCGTTCACCATTTGATTCCCCAAGAAAACTTCAAACATCCAAAGAGACCAAAATTACCTTTTTCTATTAGTGACCTTATTTGTCGTCAATGTGATGTGAACTTTGGACAAACATTTGGCTATCTTTATATGTCTAATGAACACGTTATTGATATGAAAGTTGCATTCCCATTTACAATTCAAAGCGTAAGACTTTATAGAGACCTTAAAGTGGCACCGAAAATACTATCGAGTTTGGTCAGGTAAATTTGCTTTTGTTAAAGAAAGAATTTACAAATAATTGTTATTCAATTCTAATCATAGCACGAATAAAAATGCAATATATTAAATTTAGTTCTCCTTTTATCACTTTGAATAGGTCAATTCTCATCGATCCTAACGAGATGATAATTGGAGATTGTGCTCCTTATAACAATGATGAGGAGAATAACGATAACTGGTGGTCTTGGCTTAATAATATACTAACACAAAGGTTTTACCTGGGGATTTTTCTAGTGCTATTGTTTATGATAGTTTGTGCATATTGTAATATAGTCGTCTATACAAGCATATTTACACTACAACTGTACAAAAATGGAAACTAAACTATATAGTCGGCTTATTAAAGTATACTCAAAAAGCAATAAATAATAATAATTTATATGGTTAAATAACATATTCACATTCGATCTTACCTTTATTGTTTTTCCTTTTATTTCAACAAATGTTCGCAACAAATTGTTCCCTGAAAATGTTGCGAATGATTTCTGGTGTGTCTCTTAGAGATCAAAAGGAGAATAGAATCATTAATGTGAATGCGCGTGAAAATTTAAATGTGGATTCGGTTGATGAAGCGTGAAAGTCGAGATTGAGACGGTTTGATTAGGCTTGTCCAAGTTAATTTTGAGTATAGAAACGAATGGTTCTAGAGATTGAGGTCATACACAAGTAAATAAAAGAACTAAAAAGTTGGTTCGCTTCGCTGAAATGTATTTTTATTTATTTCTAATCAATTCGACTGACATTTCACATTTGAAAATTTATAATTTTTTGATACATTAACAATGAGTTAACCTTATTGATTTTTCACCCAGTTGTTGTTGATTCTCCGACTGTTTGGAGTAGAACGTTCTTCTATGAATAGAAAAAAAAGTTGATTTTGAGTACTAAATCATGACACGATCAAATCCTATGAAATTATTTATTTTCACAGACAATTTGAGTCACACATAAAGGAAAAAATTGACACTGATCATCAGAATTTGATTAAAGTTTGTGCAAAAATGTTCAAGTCGATTCTTTCATATGAAAAGTATTGGCAATATATTTTTATATTGATGAAGTCCGTCGAAAATAATACATTAGAAAGGTCTATATATCACTTTCACATAAAAAATTAATTACCTTATGCTACATAACGGTACATTCCCTTGGACGCTGGTATTGATTGATCGTTGAATATAACCAAAAATGAATATGTGAAATCCGAGTAAACAATTTCACCTTTTTATTGTTTATTCCTCTATTAAGCAAATAAAAATCAAACTATTAATACAATTTCGATGAACTTTTTTTGATAACTTACGTTCCTGACCCCCTCAATATCCCAACCAATCGACCATTTCCATCCACAATCGGACCGCCAGACATTCCCTGTATTTTATTCGAAACGATAATAACTAGTCTTGGTAAGTTTTCATCTTTAAAAAATCAAGTGCACTTACATTGGCATAAAAATCTGAGGTACACAAATGCAAATTTCCCTCATCATCATTTCTAAGAGTGAATAAACAGTGAGTTTTCAAATCATTTCTCATCTATATTAGAAAAAATATTTTCAAAGTCCAAAATTGAAAATGATATTTTGTTTAATTTGAAAACAAACAGGATGAGAATTCTCTTGATATCCATAGGCGTTAAGTGGTGTATGCGGGGGTATATAAGTATCCAGGATGTTGTACGATTCTGTATACAAACTGTTTTGCACTTTAATTAATCCAATGTCCTCGTGACATTGATGATTCGAAAAATTATCTAAATACGGTATATAGTCCTCAATGTTGTGATAAATTCCAGAACCAACTAATAATATTTTGAAATCTTTAATTGATCTTCCTCGAACTCTAAAATATGAATAGTTGAAATGATTAAACGCTAAAAAGAACAAAAAAAAAACTTTTTCTTATTACTCTCTGATACAATGATCTGCCGTTAGAACAAACTCTCCACGGATGATTGCGCAACTACATATGTGCTGCTTGTTATACTGTACCGAACATTCATACGGTTCGTCTTTGGTTTTAATATAAATATAAATATTGAATATTATAATTTTTTTATATAAATTTATAGAAGAATTTCATTCACAAGAAATTATAATATTTATTTTATTTTATGCTTACTTATGCGTGATCCACACGAGCAACTAACAAATAACAAATACAGAACACAAAAGAAAACCAACAATTTCATATGTAATTTCATGTTAGTTAATTTTTTTCACCTAACACTTTCTCAGATACAATAACAGAAATAACTGTGCTTGATAACGTTTGTAATAAGTTATAAACTGACACGGATGATTTTGAATTAATTTTATTCCAATTTGATTTTACTCTTACACATGGCCTGGAAATGCCTATGTAATTTACATATAAACGAGTGAGACTCAAACATGTTCTTCTTTTTCCATCAAATTTACCAGTGGCGCCACCAATTTTACATATAAGCGCATACAAAATTTTCAATATGGCTGCGCCCATGAGAGAGAAAATTTCGTCTCATTCATTTCCGCCCCATGCTCTTACAACGATGTGTTCGGCTCGAGTGTTCACAACAGAATAGGAAGAGACATATGTTCCAATATGACAGCTGAGCTACAAGTGTAACTTTCACACAACTCAGCTACATTTACCATTTCGCCACATTCATGCATCGGGCAACATTTGACAATTCCATTTCATGCTCACACTCATACATACATAATTCACATCATGCTCACACTCATACATACTCACGCATACTTCAATAACATTACAACTCGGCCGTTCTGACAAAACAATCGACCACGATTGTTATAGATGTCCTATTAACACAGAAATATTAACATATCTTATTACTAAATACGAAAAATCCTTTATTAACTATTAACAACCAATCATACTACGCATATTAACATGAGTAGTAGTATTAGGATCGATGTTAATAGCGAGTAGTAGTATGTTTATTATCTATTAAGATGCCGAAGTTAATACGCGCCATTTG